GAACATCCGGAATCACCAAAACATAAGCATAGAACACACAGAATCACCAAAATGTAAGCATAGAACATTCAGAATCACCAAAACATAAGCATAGAACGTCCGGAATCACCAAAACATAAGCATACATGTAGAACATTCAGAATCATCAAAACATAAGCATAGAACATTCGATATCACTAAAACATAAGGATAGAACACAGGGTTCTCCCCAGAAAAAACTGATAGCGCCTTGGCTAATTTGCATATCATTTACATAATAATGTGCATGCTAATTTGCATACTAATTTGCATATCAGTCTTCATGCAACAATAGTACAACAGTTTTTTTTTCATAATTGTGATTTATTTTCTAACAAGGGATACCATTATGTACATACATTGTGTATCTTATTTACAATTCAATTTTCCAGCTTTATTAACTAGAATGTTTAATATGTCTAACTAGAAATGTCCAATCTACGCTTGTTTCTTGCTGCCCATAAATCTGCTGCCTTGTCATAATTGAAAGCTGATTCTCCTGGGCCTTCGAAACTAATCATCAAGAGATTCAACAGTGTCTTCTGGTTCATTCTGTTTCAAAGTGTGCTCTTAATCCTGTTGACAGCCGAAAACCCCCTTTCACAGTCTGTGAAAAAAACAAAAGATGTGGTTACTTGATTAATAATTGCTATAAAATAGCAATAAGTTGAAATTGGCTGTATTGGCTCATTGGAATGATGAGGCCAATGGCAGCTAGCTTGTACAAATTTGGAAACACTTCTTTATAACTTGTTATAATCATTTCCATCATGGCTCTATGTGATAAATCCTTATTTTATCATAATATTTTTGAGCATATCCCACTCTGTAATAATGTCACTTGTCAAAATTTGATTGTAATGATCACTGAGTTTCTGAAATACAAAATAACAAAATATGTGTGAAAAAAATCACAAGTGTTAATTAAATATTCTAAGATTAAGAGTCAGAAGACTAGATTAATTACCTGCAGATGTTGCTTCTGAACAGCATCATCCACTGCTTCATCACCATTCTGGGGTAATCCATTGGGGTCAAAAACACTGAAACACTGTAACAGCTCCACATCAGGGAATCTATCTTGTAGGTTGGCCACCACTGCATCAATGTACTTGTTATATATCTGTTAAAATGATATAAAATATTGATTATAATTATTGAAGGTTGAAAAATAACCTTATTCTACTTCACCAGTAATCTGATTACAGACTTTTAGAGCAATATGTTGTTAATCTAACCCTTGTTTTGAATTCCTTTCTCATCTGATCAGTAACTGTAATGTTATGAATGGAAAGATCACTAGTGAAGCGCTCATCCTAGCTTTGCATGTGAAGTCCAGGGTTTTCTTTTAACTGCTGCAGGGTTGTGACAGTGCTATGCAGAACTGGTTCAATTAGTGTAAAGTCAATGTTATTTTTCTGGAAAAGAGTGAACAATCATACTATGATAGTGTATTTTCCATAGCATTAATGATAACAAATTACATTGTATTTTTTTTATGATATGCAGCACTGCATGAGGGTAAATGATGCTTACCTGAAATATCAATGACAGTCTAGTAAGATGAGGTAGTACATCTGATAACATGTGGATTGATGCAATAAAATCATATTTTTTAACAAACATTGATAGTCCATGGGCAGTGGCATCTCCTCTTTCCTCTGCATGTCTTTCCAAACTAGTGATGACAGACGGCAATACTCTTCGCATAGCATCAACAGCTCTGTGATGAGACAACCATCTCACTGATTTTTCAACCACAGGTAAACACAAGTTATAAGTTATAACAAAATATATACAAAAAATAACAATCAGAAAAACTGAAGTTATACAATCAACTATAGCTCAATCTCTTTTAAACCTGACAGCAGAATTCTGGTAATAATGGTAAAGTTGCTGGAGTGTGGTTGATACTTTATGCAGATGCTTTATCTTGTCCATGGATTGTGCTGCAGCCAAAGCAAGGCGGTGAGCAACACAGTGTATATTCATCAACATTGAATTTCTTTCTTTTAGTCGTGTTGCAACCTAAAAATGTAAACGATAAATTTTTAATTGATCTGTATTCATTAAAACAATAAATGTATAAATTGATAGGTAATAAAAGCAAGTGGATACCTACCCCAGTCTTCCTTCCCACCATTACTGATGCACCATCAGACCCAAGAGCAGCCATATTGGGATTAATTGTCAAAGATTTTCCTTCACAGAAGGCAACTGTTGAAGCCTCTATTGTCTCTGCCTTCCCATTCACAATGTCAGCAATGCTGAGAAATGAGGTCTTAATCTAACATAAAGAGGAGATAATAAAATAATTATAGCAGTCAGACTGGGTTGAAAAACACATACACTGTACAGATTTTAAAATGATATAAAATGCTCACGTTTGCATGTTTGTCTATGTATTTGGAATACATGATCAATATGGCAACATCAGTGGTCTCATCCATTAAAAGGCTATAGAAAGGACTGGCTCTTAAATCATAAATATCACTGGAAATAACTGTTGCCAATTCATCAATCATTTCTTGCATAGTTCTCTCTTAACGATAATTAGCATTGCCACCCTGGAAAGAGGGAAAATTACTCATATAAAATTCAACAAATATTCATCAGTATTTAAATGAATAAATTAAATAAACAAACAACAATATAAATATACACTCACCCTTGAAAGGTGCTCAAAATATGAGCAACCAAGGTCCTGCACAAGATCAAGCAGAAACCTAAAATTCGTCGTATGTGCAATCTCGTGTTTACAAATCCAATACATGCAATGAAGTGCACCTATCGGGTTATACTTTGTTTCTCTAACGCTGTACACGGCGTTTTCGTCCATACATCCGACCCGTTCCTCGGTCTCACTCCATGCTTCGCGCAGACGGTGCATAACATCCCTATTCAGGAAAATAAAATAAACACAAATAATTTCTTGACTGAATGAATTCATCCTGAAAATATCACCACAAATAATCTGAATATGACTGATCGTTTTTAGTTTCCGTCGCCCTAACACTTGTTGTGACACATGATATGGGGTCACATTTTTTTACGCTAATGAAACTTAGAAATCCGGATGAAACAAAATAACTTTTCAATTTTCATTTTGGATAAATTATTTAAATGTATATTCAAGTTTTTAGCCATTTTCTATTCGGAATACTAGTGATTAACCCACAATTACGTCATTATGTTAAAAGGTCAATCGAAAGAAAACATGACAAGGCACATGGCTTCCCACATACCCTTTTCGTCTTTTGTTTGACGCAACCAGTCGTAAGTAATCGACCATGATTTATCAAACCTGGTTCTTCTTCTTTTTGTGTCAGATATAGTAATACGTACGTCAGTGGTGTCATCTGCAAGATTTCGCTTTTTCTGAGTTGATGACGGCGTCAATCGTGTAAAAAATGATCGAGGGTCAGGTCGTCAATTTTCTTTTTCCATGACGATCAAATAATGAATATAAGCGTGGTAGCTTTGAAACGAGCATATAGGATACTGATTACACCGTGATCTTTGCTGTTTTTATACTTTTTTTCTTTCTTTATTACAGTACAATGTGCACACAAGGTCCCAATTTTCTCGCCACTGGCGAGACCATGGTGAGGCCATGTCTCGCCACTGGCGTGCCAGTGGCGTACCAGTGGCGAGGCTGTTGAAAAAAGAAGCGAGCCCAAGGTCGAGCTCGGCGCGATTAGTCAGATACGGCGCACCTTATTAATTTCAATAAACAATATTCAACTATCTTTTGCAACACCCATATGATCATAATGGTAATGTTTATTGGTCTTTGAAACTAGAGGCATTATCAGAGCATGGGTCTTATTTTGGAACTCCTGCCAGGATGGCATTCCCAGAATAGCACCAGTTGTTAAAGAAACATTAAACTTTAATTCTCAATAAGGATGGAAGGACCAGTTACTGAGACAAAGCCCTACTCCCCACGAAACCCACCAGATTCAAAACCCACTTACCACGAAAGCCACTCACTCACTCAATTTCTGCTATATAAAAAGTTAAAACAGTGAAATTTCACCTCTAAATGCATTTTCCTTGCAATGCCGCCTTAAATACGTCTCTATCATATGTCTTGTTTGATTCTATTCATTAGGGGGCCTTATTTTTTCACTATTTTGACTTACTTGGAGGGTCACTGGTGCTTGCCCTTATTTGGGTTTTTGAGTTTTGGTGGAACTTACAAAATGGTAGATTCCAGTTTTTCAAAGGGACATACATGTATGTAAAGCTGCAATGTAAATCTATAATGTCACATAAGCTGAAGTGTAGATGATAGTGTAGTTGTACACAATGTACAATAGAAAATATGTATTGAAATATTTGAAATCTTTCCAAGAAATCATCTTTGTCTAAAGTAAAATTGTATAGTCGCAAAAATTACCTCTGTCTCCTGCAGTAAAGTGGTATAGTCTTTTTTTATGAGTTTGTAATTACTGACTGGTTCTTGAACTGCAGTAAATCATCTAACTTGCTGATTTTGAATTTCTGTTGTGAACTGTTTGTACTGCTGTCTGGTGACTCTACTCCTAATTGGAAGGTGAGAGATTGTGATGTTACCATTCATGTGTGTACAGTCTTTTGCCAAATAGATAATTATAATAGTCACTTCATTGTACATGTACTTTTCTTCCAACTCCATAAAAGTTAAATGTTTAAAAGACCTGGCAATATATTTTGCCCAGTACACATAATGTATGGTATATCATAATGTATGTAGTTACATTTTGCTTGTCATTTGAATACTTCACTTGTTTCTGCATAGTCTGTGCCTTTATTGGTTTGAATTTACTGTGCTTAGTCAATTCTTGGTGAATTTCATTCTGTTTACTTTCTCAGTGTTGTAATCTGAATATCTTGACCTTTGGCCACTGCCTTTCATAGCAGCATAGTGTTCCACATGCCTGGCTATACCCAGGGGGTACATATACTGTACTATATAGTGTTCCATATGCATAGCTCCACCCAGGAGGTACATATTCTGTACTATGCAGTGTTCTATATGCATAGCTCCACCCAGGAGGTACATATTCTGTACAATGCAGTGTTCCATATGCATAGCTCCACCCAGGGGGTACATATACTGTACTATATAGTGTTCCATATGCATAGCTCCACCCAGGAGGTACATATTCTGTACAATGCA